TCGTGTCCCCACCGATGGTATTATTTCTTTCCCGTGGCGGGGCGTGTAAGGGGGTGTACGATTCATTAACCGATCATTCGGCGGTGTTTGTGTGGGCGACTTTGTGTGGGTTGTATCCTGACGGACGGACGAGTCGGCCCTTACGAGGTTATTGATCGGCTCCTTCCGGATGTCTACCATCTTAGCTTGCCATCTCATGTGCGTTTTTCGGACGTTTTCCACGTGGCACAATTGGCTCATTGTCATGTCGCCGACTCCGACGGAGACGAGCTCGCGATGGCTTCGAGGGTGAATCCTTCTCAACTGGGGGAGGATGATGGAAACGAGCTCGCGATGACTTTTCTGGACAAGTTCGATTGGATACCGAAGCTTAATTAATTAACTTATGGCTTTTTATACTTATTATTATTATGTTTCTTTATTTTAGGTTATTTAGACTAGGAGAATAATTATTTATGGGATTTATCTTGTCTAGGAAGTTAGGGGTTTGTGGGGTCTTAGGCTATATATTCTTATCTTTCTCACTCTAGCAGATCGATCATTGATGAATTGAAGAAATCTGATACTTTTATCGTGTTCGTTAAAGAGAGAGTTCTCTTTTGTTCTCTTTCGTAATTCACGTTCTACATCAAATTTTCTTCCCGAGCATGCTGCAAAGACCTTATCGATCGACATCTTTTACATCGATCAGTTGTCAGAACACATCATCCTCTCGACTGACTGAAAACCAGCTCCCTCATCTACTACACAACACATATGAAAGGTTTAATTTGAAGAAAATTTATTATTGACCAAACAAGAGTTCACGAAATCTGGAAATATTTCAACACTTTTGAGAGTGTTGCTCAATTTACTTTGAAATCTGTTTGTAGAAAGAGCCAAAGAGATGAAGATATGATAGAGCTATTTTGGGTAAAGTAAAAATTATTTATGGGTGAGCAATTAAAAATAAAAAGTAGGAAAACGTTAAGGTCCCGTTATGGGATGGTGCCGTCAGTGTTTTCCACCATTAGATACAGATGTAAATTATGTTGTGTAGATAATCTACGGTAACAAACACTAACGGAACCATTCCGTCAAGGAGACTGTAGTCATTCTAAAGAAATTGAATCAAATAATTTATTTAATTTTATGGGCTTGATTTTCTATTTTGACCCAAAAATAAACCAAACATCACAATAAAATTGATGGAGTCTAATGCATATTCAGCAAAACCCAATTTTGATACTATCAAGCCCAAAGATGCAACCATAATGAATTGCATCTCACAATTTAAGGAAATGCAAAGGTCTATTTACGAAACTATTTCGGTAGAGTTTTTAATCGTTGGATCATATATAATCGTCGGAAATAATTGATGTAACCGTTAAAAAAGTCGAAAGAATAGCAGAGTGAAATCTCACAATATCTCAAGAGGCCAATTCCGAGTTTGACTCTTTTGTTCCATGTCTGAACACAAAAATATTAAAGTGGATCTCACTTGTTTTTATGCAATTGTATCTTACGATGATCCAACAATTCAAAAGTGTTCCACAGGACCATACACATGACATACGTAACGTAAGGAGCAAGAACGAACGTAAGGAGCAAGGATGGGACCCAGCAAAAATCATCCACAAGTTTCCTCTTTTGACTTGTCCACATTTTCAACAACTAGACAACATCCCAATGCTTAGCCACAGCCAGTCCCTTTAAAAAAAAAACCCATCTCCAAACACAAACCAGAAATAAGCCCAAGAACAAGAAAACCTCCAACAAAAAATGGCTACACAAGAAAAACAGCCCCATTTTGTTCTTATCCCTTTCTTGGCCCAGGGCCACATGATCCCCATGGTCGACATCTCCAGGCTCCTCGCCAGACGAGGCGTAGCCGTCACGATCCTCACCTCTCCCAACAACCACAAACGAATGAAACCAACCGTCGACCGTGCAGTCGCCTCCGGGTCGAGCATCCGAGTTTGCCACTTCAAATTCCCGAGCACCGAAGCCGGGCTTCCGGAAGGTTTCGACAATATGGAAAAGGTGGGCTCGATGGACGAGTCCTTCAAATTCTTAATGGCTGCGGGCATGTTAGAGGACCAGGTCCAACAAATACTCCGGAACCTCGAACCTCGCCCGACCTGTTTGATCGCCGACATGTGTTTCGCGTGGGCCACGGACGTCGCCACCCGGTTGGGAATCCCGAGGCTCGTTTTCCACGGGATGTGCTGTTTCGCACTCGTGTGCATCCACGTGCTGTTTCTCTCCAGGGATTTCGAAAATGTTGCCTCTTCGGACACAGAGTATTTCGTGGTGCCCGACCTGCCCGACCGGATAGAGGTCACCAAGGCTCAGATGAGGGGCACGCAAAAGGAAATCTCGCCCGAGTGGATCAAAGTGCGCCAGCAGCTCCTGGGCGCTGAGTCCGAAGCTTTCGGGACGGTGTTCAACACTTTCGAGGAGCTCGAGCCAGAGTACGTGAGGAAGTACTCGGAAGTGAAGGGGAAAAAGGTGTGGTGCATCGGGCCCGTCTCGTCGTGCAACGAGACCGATTTGGATAAGGCCCAAAGAGGCAGCTCGATCGACGAGCACCACGAGTGCTTGAGATGGCTCGGTTCTCGAGAGTCGGGCTCGGTTTTATTCGTCTGCCTCGGGAGCCTTTCTCGTCTCGCAGCTTCGCAGCTCGTCGAGCTCGGGTTGGGATTGGAGGCTTCGAACCGACCCTTCGTGTGGGTCGTCAGGAGCGCGCCGGGCGAGTTCGAGACGTGGCTGAGGGAAGAGAGATTCGAAGAGAGGGTTCGGGAGAAGGGGATTCTTATCCGCGGGTGGGCCCCGCAGGTTCTGATACTCTCCCACCCGTCGGTCGGGGGATTCCTGACGCACTGCGGGTGGAACTCGACGCTGGAAGGGTTGACCGCGGGCCTCCCGATGCTGACGTGGCCGGTTTTTGGGGAGCAATTTTCGAACGAGAAGTTCATCGTGAGCGTGGCAAAGATCGGGGTGAAAGTGGGATTGGAGGTGCCGGTGACGTTTGGGGAGGAGGAAACAATTGGAGTTCAGGTGAAGTGGGATGTGATTAAGGGGGCTATCGAGGAGTTGATGGATGGAGGAGAGGAAGGGGAAGAGAGGAGAAAGAGAGCTCGGGAGCTCGGGAAAATGGCGAAACGGGCGACCGAGGAAGGGGGCTCGTCTTACCTTAACATGACTCGTCTTATAAGTGATGTTGTGAAGGAGGTAGATGGTTATGGTGGTGATGAGCTTGGGAAAGGTGAGAAAAGTTAGAAGCACAAAAGATGTTTTAAAAAAATTGTTGATTTTGCAAGATATCTAAATAATTTTTATTGTTCCTGGGCATATCTAAGTGTTGTGAGGAAAATGTCCTACAGGTTTGTGTATTTTGTTGTTTCAAATGCTTCATAAGAATTGACCCATTGAACTTTTTTAGATAAATTCAAAACTCCACTGGAATATTCAAATAGAACTCAACCATATATAACAGCACAGAAATAATATATTATCATTCCTCATTATTCAAATTTCTATATGTGAAGATTTAATTTTTATTTTTCTCCCTCTAACAATGTAATGTATAACACCTCCATGCCCCCAAAAGTCAAGGGCAGAACGTGATGACATAGTTAGCCCCGGTCGGGCAGGTAAACGTGCTCGTCTTGTCGTCGTATGCGTAGCTGTAAGCCTGCGGGCACTGGCTCTTGAACATCTGCGAATAGCTGGTTGGCTTGCACGTGTCGGGCGACCCGTAGGCTCCCGTGCAGCAGTACTGCGGCTGGTTCAGCGCCACGCACGCGCTCTTGCACCCGACGATTCCACCGTCTGGACCCTTGACTGCCAGCTCGTTCGGGCAGCCAGCGTTGATGTCGGCGGGGCAGGACACGGACGGGCAGCTGCCCCCTCCGACCGAGACGGGCAGGTTGAAGCCGTCGACCAGGCTAATGTCGTAAAAGTCCTTCCCCCCATCGCCACCCAGAGTGAACTCGATGAGGGAGGCGGGTGGGGCGCCTCCCGACCCGTTGCACTCGACCCGGCTCGACCCACAGTCCCCGGTCAGGCAGGAGCTGCCCCCGTTCGAGCAACGGGTGCGGGCCCAGATGCGGCCGGACCACGGGGAAGGGACGTCGATGGTTCTGGCGGCGTTGGGGGCAAGCTCGAATCCGGTGAGGGGGGCCGAGCCTCTTCCGGTGAGGGTGGCCGGCCAGATTTGGTAGGGGCAGTTGTTCTTGATGGTGAATGTGGCCGAGTGGACGCTAGTGGTGATGGTGGTAGCTGCAAAATATCATGTGACGAATTTTGATGTTATTTTTTAGTGTTTTTTTTTTTTTTTTTTTAATTGAGGGATATTATTTGTTTAAATTTAATAGAATTAATCAAAATTTTATGGATACGGATACCTAGGTAATTTTGCATGTTATATAAGACTATTACATGTTTAAAATACAAAAATATGTTTGTACCAAAAAAAAAAAAGTACAAAAATACAAAAATATGTAAATTTTATTATGTAGTTACAATTAAATGTTAATTATTCAATCATACAAAAATAAATTCATATAAATGATCACATATAAAATATTATAGGACCATAAGAAATAGAAAAATATGTGAAATATAAAAATTAACAAAATCTTTTATTATTTTTTACAAATAGTAATAAGTTTACTGCTCACCATAAAGAATGCATATTGCAAGGATAAAGGAAGACATGTTTTGGACTGCCATGAGACACATATATATATATAATTTGGCTATGATTTTGTGTTTTTGATACTATAAATTGTGTTTTTTTGTGTTAACTTGTAATAGAATGGGTTATTGATGGAGATATTGCAGGCTATATATATATATATTTTCTGAGAAATGAAGTGAAAAATATTATTGCTATCACAGGATTAGGGAAATGTAATTTGAATTTCCACTTTATTAGCATATGAAATTATTTGAAAGTGATTTAAAAAAAAAAAAAAAAAAAGAAGCCAATCTCATACTTTGTAAAATCTTGAATGCAAGAAAGGCACTTTTAATTGAGAAGAAGACTAGTTCAGAACATGTTAGATCTTAAGTAGCAGACTTTAACTTTCCGGATACTGACATGGTAAAAATCTATGGTTTGTTGTTTATATATTCATTTTTTTCTCTGGAGTTAGATTTGTTGGTATTAGACATAAATAACATTATTCAAACTTGGTAAGTGTATATTTAATTTTGTTATTTTTTTTTCTCTTAGCACACATTTCCTTCTTAAATCTTACACATTTCCTATGAAAAACAAGAAAAATAGGAAGAAAAACAAAAGAAAACGTACCAAAATAAAATTAAAAATACGAGAAACAACTAGACAGGCCGGAAAATCTTAAAAAACGAGATAAAATGGGGAAAAAGACAAACAATATACCAACAAAAATAACAACAAAAATGAGACAAACAGTGATAGCCAATAAAGAATTTAAGTGAAGTTAAGTTATTTTCAAACGAGTTTCAATTTTGATTTATTATTTAACTTTGTTAAATATAAATTAAAAACTAATATACTTTCTAATAAAAAATGTAACTGAGTATTATGTATTTTACTAAACTTAAGTCATATAATTAAAGTAAATAAAAATTTGGAGCTTTGATGTTTTTTTTTTTTGAACGAAAAGGATTTTCACTTTTTTCATTTGCGATTCTTAAGAAATTTTTCAAATATTATTTATAAAATTTAACTATATTTTTATTTTTTGAACGGGGTCGGTTGTGCTGCAGGCGAGGAGTATAAGGTGGTTAGAAGTCGCGTAAAGAACCATTATCTTGGGGATGAAAATGTGTATGCTGAAGTGTTGTCACTAAGAAGTGGTTCGTGGAAGGAAGTTTCGTATCCTTATCACCCCACCATCGAACCCGCCCAAAATCCTTCTCTCTGCATAAATGGCTTCTATTATTGGGCTGCTAGGGAATGCATTATATCGTTCGACTTTGCTAATGAGAAGTTTCCTGATGCTGTCATCCCTATACCCGAGAGCCGTATGCTCGATCACGACAGAGGAATATTTGGCTGTGTTACTCTTGGCGAGTTTGGTGGGTGTCTAGCGGCTATTACGTACTATAGATGCAGGAAGATATCTGCTGGAAATAAGCCTTTCAATTTTGAGATTTGGGTATGGAATGGCGGTAGCTGGTCCTGCGAGTCCA